AACACAGTTGTCTACTCAATGAGCCAGTCTCATTAAAACGATGACATTATTGCCAGACTTCTTGATTAATTTTTTACTAATGTAGCTGTTAGTTTTGGCTAACTTGCTGGTATTTTTTACACTTGCATAGGACAAGCTCACCCAAATACCACTTTAATTATTTTTATACAGACTTCAAGGTTTGTTATAGTTCAGTTAAGGCTATATCTTGTCCTGGAAGATGATGTTATCATTCTTTTGATGATGTGTATATAACTAGGTGAAAACTGTTATTTATATGTGAGTGCTTTCTGTGTGTCACCTGCTCCTCTTAAACTGTAATTATCACTTCATGTGTCTAGAGAATGTCACTTCTGCTTGTGCGTGCGAGCGAGTAAGCCAATACACAGTCATACGGCATACGCTGTGAAGAGCAATGATTTGGGTTCTGGCTTTGTCCGCGGACCGCCTGCATACATGGTGTCACGCTAATCCCAAACCACCCTCATGTCTCTCTTCCTTCTCTTGCTGTTCTCCTCTCCTTGGGGCCAGACTGAATTTCCTGCAGGAACTCGCTCCGCAGCGCTTGGCAGTGGTTCTTTAATTTAACTAAATTTGAAACTGGAGAAATCTGACACAAGATGGACAGTCAGTTCTTGCTGTATAAAGACAATATCAGTGCTAGCAATCTGGACTCACAAATAGTGTTGAATGATTGTTGTTTTTGTTAGAACAAATGTTTCCACTCTCAAGTAACATTTTTGATGTGCAGGAAAGTCAAAATGAAATCAAAATTGATCTTGTTTACTTGAGACACATTGATTGACATCTCCACTTTTTTTCTTTCTCTTGTTTTACTTAAGAATAGTTTATTTATTTATTTATACTTACCACAATCTTTGTTTACCATAATCTTTTTAATTCATTTTTTGAACCTTTTTGTAATTAATTAATTTATTATTATTATTGATTAAAGTTTGCATAACATAATCTTTATTTATTAAAAAATAAATCTAACCTATTTGCAATGTATTATTATATTATATTAGTAATAGTAGCAGTTCTTGTTGTTGTTGTTGTTGTTGTTGTAGTATTCATAATAATAATAATAATAATAGTTTTATTTTTACTTTTGCTATTTGTGCCTCCAAATACAGATATTATGCTGGAGTTAATGATGTTATGTATGTGTAAATATGCGTATATCTAAACATTTAAACTGCACAATTTATGTAGGATGAAAGAATGCACAAATACTCCTACAAAAAAAGTGTTACGAAATAATACATGAAGACATTTTGTGTAAAGTTTGTATTCGGAGATGAGTCCTTCTAGAAATGTCCTACATCAACAAAAAGGATGAGACCTTTCATAATATCTGCTCTCACAGCCGAAATCAAGCACTCTTGGCGGCACAAAGTGAACAGCTGACCGTTAGATAAAGAAATGAGTCATTTATGTGTTAATGTTATTCACCAGCTGTTTTGTCTTTCTAATACAGAAAAAACAGCTTGTAATCTTTGAGTATGTGAACTTTGGATGTCTCTCAGCAGTGGAAAGTGTGTTGGAAAAGCAGTTTTCTTCATGGAGAGTGAAGTTTAGACATTGTTAGAATAATATTGTATATAGTTTTTCACTTTTTGAATGTCAAGCACACTTTCTGAAAGCAGCTAATCCAGATAGTACAGTCAATCTTGGCAGCCCTCTATTCAATACAGTGACCACTGCATGGGGCCACAGACTGAACCATATTGGCGTTAAATGCAACTAATGCTACATCTTATGGGAAGCGACTTTATCCAGCAGCTTATGATTGTAATGCTATGGGAACATGTACCTTTGTGGGTTTTAGAGCAGAATTGGCCCAGCATGCATGCTCTGCAATTGTTTCTGGCCAGCAACGGGAAAAGCCAGTCAGGAAGAAAGAGGTCATTGCTGGAAATCTTGGTACCATCACGTATAGCAAGCATGGATTAGAGCTGATCTCACATACCCTCACCAAAACTCCCACCAGGTCACATTACCTACCTTATGGTTTACCAGAGCATATGGCGTGAAGGAAGCGAGAAGGTTTTCAGTTGATTGGAGAAACTCAGAGTGAACAAGATCATGTGAGAAGGTCGAAGAAGAGAAGGAGTTGAACATAGCAGCTGTATTTTGGAACGGATATCCCTCTGTCTCTTCCTGCTACACTGCTCATGCAAAGAGCAGAGTGGGCATGTGTCCATGAGAGTGGGAATTGTAGAAAAAAGGCTAAAAAGTGCAAGTACGGGTCAGGGTACTTACTCGTTAACAACACCAAGTTCTAGTTTTCCTCCAACAAGCCATTTCATGCTACAGAGGCGAAGTAGAGAGGGGACATTCTCAAGACAAAGTCTCTAGTGTGTGTGTAAAACAGACCCCCCAGTAGTCAGCTACTAAGACTGCACAAGGTAATGGTGTTCCTCAAGGGTTTATCTGGCTCTACTTGACTGGATTTTCACAGGTCTTTCACCTAAAGTTTGAAAATGGATCTATCAAAGAATGCTGTGGTTTTGGTAGACGATGGCCTTGTAGATCTAATTAAGACCAGTTATATGGTTATTCTTGCAATATTTCAGCCCCTCTACAGTTTTATTAGTCTATCCGTTTTCATCTTAATCCAAATCAGACACCATAGAAGGTAGTAGCTCAGTTCCAAAACCTAGGCTGCATCCAAAACCGAGGCCGAACTACTATATAGTAGGGAAGTATGCAATTTTGGCTGCAGCTGTAGTGTGTTGCCTATGCTCTGTGGAGAAAACAAAAATGTCATCCAAGATGCAGTTAGAGTTGAGGGAATTGTTGAATTTAGATATAAAAAAATATAGATATAAACACTATTTAATCTCATTACAGATGTAGTTTCTTAGCCAATATGCGTGTCAGGTGGCCCTCTGTCTTGCTAGAGAGAAAGAGACGGAATGAGAGACAGGTTGGGGCATTGAAAGTCAGGGGAGAGAAGAGGGAGATAAGGGTAACATTTAATTTTTGGCATGCACAGTCTCTGCTCCATATTTACTCTGGTTTCATCAGGTCCGACCATATGCCAAGACTTAGAGCTGAAGCGAGCTTTGTGCATTCAGAGACACAGTGCATACTTGAATTCCTACAATAGTAAACTTACATTTCCCCTCCCAGTAGAACATTCCAGACTTTAAACACTAGTGTTTTCTTTGAGAGCTTCAGGAACTGGGTTTGCTGCACGGCTCGGCAAAAATCATTGAATACGTGTGGTGAATATCCTGTCGAAGTGTTATATTTAGGTTATGTGGTGGACAGAATAGCTGTACTTTCTTGCTCCCTGATTTATTAGAGCTGCTTGTTTGGGTAAAGGATTGAACAGGCCCCTATCTTTCCCCTAAGTTATTAACATTTAATGATGCTCTATTTATGCAACAAACATGAATGATAACTCAAATTGTGTGGATATTTCAGGAGAAGTGTGCTATGACTTTGCTAGGCAACCACCAAGCAAAACTCTAGCAACCACTCCCATCCCAGCATCATGGTGCCAGTTTTAGAATGGGCGTGTACCAAATGTGCTGTGAGATTGAGCTCATGGTCTTGTGTGTAAAAGCTTCACCTGGGTCTTGAGTGGAAACACACACTGATGTGAGTGAGGTCTGACCCAGCAGATGGTCAGTCAAAAGGGCTGCTAAAACAAACGGATGTTTAGGAGATGCTGACAGGCGTGCTGAGAGGAGCTGGGACTACTATTTGGAGTCTACTTCTCTTTCTTTCACTCTTTCTCTTGGTTTCTTTTGCTTGGTCTTTTGATCTTGATTTCTTTGTTTTTCATTCTGTTTTTGCTAGTTCTTTGGCTCAGGCTTTTTCTTTCACTCTTTTTTTTTAAACTTTATTTCACTTTTGCTCTTGTATCTTTTTCATTTGCTCTTGCTTTCTATTTCTTTCTTTGTTTCATTCTCTTAGACTCTTCTGCTCTACCTTTCTTTTTCTTGTTATTTCTTTTCCTCTGTGTGTTCATGTCCATCCACACACATTCTACATGATGGATTCATTGTTGTGCCTTGAGCTGAAACACAAATAATCTCACAGACGGAGACTCACACACACTGTTGTGACTGCTGTCAATCAGAGCCCTGACCTCAAAACACAACCCTCGCTCATGGATCTATGAAATCAAACTATACAAACAGAGCAATGGTAATGTGATTAATCACAGTGTATTGTGCTAGTGAATTTAGGGCCTATGTCAGACAGATAAACCGGTAATTCATCGTTGGATTTGTTTTGATAAATTACTAAGATTAGAATTTATTTTTAATCTTTATCTCTACGGCGTGATTCCTGACTTTTTGATTGGCAGATGTTATGAAGAGACGTGTGTGTGTGTGTGTGTGTGTGTTCCTTGTCCTCTGTGACCTGTGTGCAACACCAGGTTAACTGCCGTCTGTTGACTAATGTTTTACGCCGTCCATAAATGTTCATATCCTAAAATTATAATGTTTATACAAAACTGTTAATATAGTATCTTTTTATATCATTTTCTACATATTTTTCAACTCCAAAAAGAAAGCCCAGCACATACATTTTTTTTAATTTATTGATAACTTCCTTTTGCTTTGGAAACACAGTGAAGTTATTTTTTTCCTCTCTCTCTCTCTCTCTCTCTCTCTCTCTCTCTCTCAGATCTCACTATGCTTGTGTGTCTCTAAGTTAAGATTGGAAATATCTGAAGACATGATTACCGATTCGATTGCCATGTTTTGTGCCTGCAATAACAAACCCTCTATTACCTCATAAGGTGAAATGGATAGAGTATTCTTTATTGTGAACTGTGGCCAAAACTATTATGTTATTGTCAAGTTGCCATGTTTTTATCAGATGTATTTAAGCAATTATGGAAATGGAATGATACTGGGAGTGGAAACGCTCTTTCTCTCTGTGTAAATCTTTCTAAAACAAACAATGTCGTAGCAATAAATGGCTTCTCTGTTTTTGCGGATTGATCAGAATTTTCTCTCGCTCTCTTTCTGCAGATCTGAGGTCTACAGGTACATCCCATCACTTCTCTTTCCTGTTGAACACATCAGACTATCGCATCCTGCGCATGGATGAGGATCACGACCGCATGTATGTGGGCAGCAAAGACTACATCCTGTCTCTGGACCTCCATGACATCAACCGAGAACCTCTCATAGTAAGAACCAACACAAACCACTCCATCTGCCTCCCACTAACATAGATAGATAGGTGGATCGATTTATTTATTATTTTTTATTATTTTGTTTTTATTTGTTTATTTTTGTTTCATTTATGAATATATTTTATTATTTATTTATTCAGTTATGTATTTTAATTGTATTTTAAGTTGCATACTTTTATTTTACAGCTTTTGCTTTTATTTATTTGCTTTATTATTTTGTTTTTAATTTTTACTGTTTATTTTATTTAATTTATTTGGTGTTTTTAATGTATTATTTTATAGGGTTGTAAAAAATATTGATATCTTGATATTAATCGATTATCATTTTTACGGAACGATATCGATTCTTAAATCCCAAGAATCGATTAGTCTAGCCTGTTTTCAGTTAATGGACGGAACGTTGAAGGGCATTTCCCATCCAATATATCGCAATAAGCATTGTGCTTTGGTCATTTTTATATGAAACAAAGTCTCAGATTTCAAATTCTGTCCATTGTATTGCAGTATTCAAACAATAAATGCCATTTTGGCACGGTTTAATGTGGAGTGACAGATCGCTGTAGCGCCTCAGTTCAACAGACGCAGCAGCGCGAGGCACACTTGAACTGATCATCTCCTCCACATTAATACCAGTTTCAGCACAAAATAAACATGACTAAACATCCGAAGGTAAGTTAAAAGAAAGAGTACAACTTTACAAACCTATCCTGTCTCATGTAATCGCTCAATCAGTGTTTCAGCCGTGCAAAGACATCAATATAACGGTTTAAAAACAATGTCATGTAACGTCACATTTATCTCAGAAAAACATATTTGGTGACCATAAACTTATTAGTCAGATAGAAAAATAAACTCTAGAGAGGGGCATTTTGCTAAATATATTCACCATATAACACATTAATTATCAATTTTACTGTTCTTCAATGTTTAATTGATGCTTGAATAAATCCATCATGTTTTTATGACAGCCACCATTATGTTTATATTTAAAAAAAACTAAGTGAAGTAGAAATATTATTATGTAATTGTAACTTTTTTATTTTAAAAACTTCATTAAGTGTAATTTTAACAAATCAGTCAATTTTAACCTTCAATATTATAGTAATGTAGTAGCAACTGACTCTTTTACAGCATTAGTTGAGAGATTTTTTTTCCTTGAGAAAATTTGGCATGTACTGTACCTGATATACAGTATATCCAAAATAATCGATATCGAATCGGTAATCGAATCGAATCGCAAGCTTGTGAATGAGAATCGAATTGAAATTTGTGTCAAAACCCAGCCCTATTATTTTATATTTTTATTTAAATTGTTTTATTTATTATTTACAGTTTTATTAATTAATTTATTTAAAGAATGATATTCACATTCCTGGACAAACACAAGCCATAAACTAAATCACAGCAGGCTCCAAGGGTCATTTCTCTATCACTGTTACTTTTACTGATTTGCTCACAGCAATTCAGGAAACTGACTATTAAATTCTATAAAACTAAAGGTTGGATATGTGTGGAACTTTGGGGCCTTATAAAAATTCAGGGTGAACGTTCAGCTCATTACAGTGAAAGGTTGTTGAGTTAAAGTGGATCGTTTCTAAGATAGTGTGTCATTGTTGTGACAAATGGGATTGACCATTCTCTCTTATACTCTCTCTTTCAGATACACTGGCCTGTTTCCCCACATAGGAAAACGGAGTGTGTTTTAAGTGGCAAAGACACAAACGTGAGTGCCGTCTTTCAATTTCTTTGCTTCCACTCCGCTCACATCTACTCTAATCTGGAAGGCCGCGAAAAACACAGAATAGCACTCTTGGAAAACCGCTCAGCCCTTCAAATTAGTGTTCTAATTTCTCCAAGAATTATTCCAGACAGTGTCACAACAACATACACAACCAGGGGAACTTTGGGGCCTTATAAAAATTCAGGGTGAACGTTCAGCTCATTACAGTGAAAGGTTGTTGAGTTAAAGTGGATCGTTTCTAAGATAGTGTGTAATTGTTGTGACAAATGGGATTGACCATTCTCTCTTATACTCTCTCTTTCAGATACACTGGCCTGTTTCCCCACATAGGAAAACGGAGTGTGTTTTAAGTGGCAAAGACACAAACGTGAGTGCCGTCTTTCAATTTCTTTGCTTCCACTCCGCTCACATCTACTCTAATCTGGAAGGCCGCGAAAAACACAGAATAGCACTCTTGGAAAACCGCTCAGCCCTTCAAATTAGTGTTCTAATTTCTCCAAGAATTATTCCAGACAGTGTCACAACAACATACACAACCAGTTTTTCAGTTTACAGTTGGTCCACATTTGCTCACAAGATATCTTTGTTTAGACATCTTAATTCATCTCGATAACTCCAGCCAGCTCTCACTTATGAAACACTATGGCTATGTGACATCTGTTTGTGGTTTGGATTTTAAGCTGTAAATGTAATTTACAAATACACAGCATATACAAAATCGTTTGGTCAGGGTCTATAGCCCTCAAGCTCCACAAAAAATATTTGCTGATATAAATGAAGTGAGATATTCAAGTTTAGGAGTAGTGCTGAGGTCAAATATATGTGCTACAAACCTCAGCCTTCCAGGTCAGACACCACACACAAAAACATATGCACTCATAGATATTCAGAGAGGGAAAACAGATGCTAGATCCAGCATGCAATGAACTCGAACCGGTCAAATTCCTAGATTTGCGGACATATGGAATTGGACATGCGGTTTAGTGGTCTGGTAAAGAAACCGTGTGCATCACCTGATCATCTGCACATCTGCAGGGTGCATTTCATGGTTTTAGTGTCAGTTTGGTTGTGGGATGTGATGGGTTTTAACCACAGCTCAGGAATTATTAATAATGTTGAATGCATTTGCTGTGAAATTAATCGACATGTAGCTCTTTAGGGGAACATTTCTGATTTCTGATTTGAATCTTTTGAACTCTTGAATGTAAGGTTGCTGAAATACATGCCAGTACAGAGTTTAAAAACCTAGGAAATAATTGGATGCTTCTTTCCTGTGATTTCCTATTAAAAGAGGAAGTTATGGTTTTTTTAAACGGGCAATAGTCTTTCAGTGACATCACAGCTAGATGAAGCCATGATTAGCTGCATATTGATACTCTGTGAATGCATGTTGTTGAGTTTTGAAACACAACATTTTGGGGTCAGTAAGATTTTATTTTTTTTCCACCAAGACATTGATAGTTTTATTCAGCAAGGATGCATTAAATTTGTCAAAAGTAACAGTAAATACATTCATAATATTACAGACGATTTCTATTTCAAATAAATGCAAACTTTTTCTATTCTTTAAATCTTGGGGTAAAAATGTTTCACGGTTTGCACATAAAGTTAATATGGAACAGCACAACGGTTTTCAACACTGATTACAAAAAGAAATGCTTCATATTAGAAATGTTTCAAATCGGCATATTAGAATGATTTCTGAAGGATCATGTGACACTGAAGACTGGCGTAATGATGCTGAAAATTCAGCTTTGAATCACAGGAACAAATTACATTTAAAAATTATATTCAAATAGAAAATAGTTATTTTAAATAGTAATAGTATTGTACAATATTACTGTTTTTACTGTACTTTTAATCAAATAAATGCAGCCTTGGTGGGCATAACAGACTTACAAAAAAATGTTTTAAAAATCCCTGAATTTTGAAAGGCTGTGTACATCAAAGCAAAATTAATAGGGCAACTGCATCATTATGAGTATTATTATAAACTATCATATTGCAAAGTCTTCTACAGCCATTTTTTCTTTGTGGTCAAATACAGTGAAAGTGGAGCAATAAAGTTTGAGATTATTTAAAATGCTGACATGTTTATAACTAGCTACCCGTATACCTGATTGCATTGGCCAAACATTAGCATCTGTGTTTGCATACTAGCAGAGTATGTTTCTGGCATTGTTACAGTTCTTGTATTCGGACAAATAGTCTCTAAATACTGCCATCAAAAGTTTTGGTCTGTTTTCCCAGAACTGAAGGACTAATTTTCACATGTTTATATCTGCCTAAAGTTTTTTTTTCTTATCATTTAGCAGTAGCATGTAGCATATAATGCTAACATAACCCAAAAGCTAACAGACATGAACTAAAAGCCACAATTTCACTGTTTTTTTTTTTATGTCTGGTCTAATGGCTCTTTTGTTCAGTCTGTCACAGACATGTGTGAAAATAATTACCGTGATTGTTTCCTCTCTCAGGGCGAGTGCGGTAATTTCATTCGTCTGATTGAGCCATGGAACAGGACACACTTGTACGTGTGCGGGACGGGCGCCTACAACCCAGTGTGCACTTATGTCAACAGAGGACGCAAGCCTATGGTAACTACCTTTTCTGAGAGTGGGGTGACAGGGTACACCTGGATACCTGTGAGGCACAGGTGTTCTTACTGTTTTTATAGCTATTCCTTTTCCAGATTTCTCAACAAATCTATCCATTACCAACTCTCACAGTTCATCAAGTGAGATTTCTCACTCACCGTCCCCCTGTGTCACCTCCTCCCCCATTAAAAACCCTCCAGGTGTTGGCTGGCGTTCACCCTCACAGCTGCCTTCCCCAGTGCGCTATAACTCTCTCTCCTGTTTAGTCTTACTCTTTAACTGAGGAGCTTGAGTTTCTTCACTCAAGCTAGGCATCACTCTGTGGACCCTCTTTGCCTTATTAGGACCCTTGCTTGTGCAGCTAGCACTTTTGCCGCTCTAAATACAATGCTTGTTCTCTAATGACGGTCCAGGGACTTTTAAAGTGGAATTAATAGAAGTCAGAAGTTGGGAATCCATTTATATTATTTTCTTAACACACGCACACACCTATGATAATAATACAGTTACTCTAATTGGTTATGCATTTCTTAATGGGATAGTTCACCCAAAAATGAAAAACATTTTCGGAACTTGGAACAAAATAAATGTTAATTGAAAAAGCTTGTATTATTTCAGGTAGTTGCTAAGGCAACATTTTCAAAATGTAGAAAAAAATTATAAAACTTTAATTAATTTCATAAAGACAAAATGTAAAGCTTCAGTGAGTCTTCGTGCTGTTGTGTAAAAAAAAAAGTTGATCATTTAGATGGTTCTTTTCAGTGAACCAGTTCTCAGTTCAGTTCTCAAACAAGAGTGAACAGATTTGTTCATCGAAATTCAACTCACTGACTCAATGATTCAGTTGCAGCAATCAAGCTCTAAATGAAGAGGAAGATTATTGTGGACGATGATTAAAGATTTGACCCTTTTGTCAGTGTTTTTTTTTTAAATATTTAAATACTTAAAATAATTTATATACTTATAATACAAAATTTGTAATAATAATATAATGGTGATTTATTGAATTTTATCTTGTATATAAAAAAATGTATATACCTATAATGGTATTATTATATTATATTATATTAATGGGGGGGGGGGCTGCATTAAATGTTATTCAAAAAGTCACACAGGTTTGGAATAACATGAGGGTGAATAAATAATGACAGAATTATTCCTATAGTTAGTTTTAAGCCTGAGATCTGTATTATGTAAGGTGTTATGCTATGGGAGCTCCCATTATAGCATCTCAGTATGGTACTGGTGGTCTGTAGCCCCCTGTAATACTAAATTGCCTCAACATTTCCCAGGAATGTTTAACTGGCACACGTCCTTTTAATGCCCTCCGCGTTTGAATGTTGGTATAAGAGCTGAGAGGTGATATCATACCCCTTCACACCCTGCTCTTTCTAGACAGGAAACCTGGGTCACAGACTGCGTCCACAAAGCCCTCCAGTCAGGCAAACATCTTCACGTCTGTCCCAATGAGCCCGACACACATCACGTCTAACACATACAGACGCACATTAATCCAAAGGCATCCAGATGTGGCCAACTGCAGCAGGTCTTTGGTGTGCTAGCCCAGTCTTTGCATTCAGACTGTACCCAAGACAGTATGTTGAAAGAAACACATGTGGCTACAGCAGACGCACTAACTCAGTGTTGATTTTTGGGGTTTTCCGATAGCCAGCTGTGCAACAAATCATGATCAAAACATCCAACAGCAGCACGCTATGATAAGCATCTGCGCGAACCCGACACCACAGTCCCAGACCAGTTTTGCTTTACGCTTCAAGATATCTGTAGTGCCTAATATCTTTCACACACAAACTCTCTTCCGAAACCTAGTAAGCAAGTTTGATGTCCATGCTGAAAAAGAGTGCACAGTAAACCAGGTGGTTAGCAGTGTTGTGCAAATTACTTCCAAACTGTAATACATTATAGCTTACTTGTTACTGTTATTTAAAAGTAATTCCTTACCTTACAATATTACTGTCTCAGAATTGTAATGTGTTGCATGACTCCTGTATTCCTTTTGAGTAGGGCTGCACGATAACTCGCATGCGATATTTAATGCGCATCTTGTCAGTAAAGCCGGTTCTGTAATCAGCGGTAAATCTCCATCAAAACCACGTTCATATTCGAGCGATTTTTTGCGCAGCTCGTCAGTGAACAACGGCTCTGTGTAGTTAATGCTGCTCAATGTGAAAGCACGCACATGATGGAGATTTACCGCTGATTACAGAAACGGCGTTGCGATGCGCATTAAATATCACATGCGATTTATCGTGCAGCCCTACTTTTGAGTTACTTTCACCAAAATAACTACAGAAGTAGAACTTAACATTCTAAAATGACAAAATGTACTGCAGAGCATTTTGCATCCAGTAGAGGGTGATATGGTGTATCGTAATGACTGTGCGCTATCCAGGCTACTAACAATATAGTCAAGTCACCTTTATTTATATAGCGCTTTTAACAATACAGATTGTGTCAAAGCAACTGAACAGCATTAATTAGGAAAATAGTGTCAATAATGCAAAGTGACAATAGTAAACACTAATTTTTCAGTTAAAGACAGTTCATCATTGAATTCAGTGATGTCAACATCCAGCTCAGTTTAAATAATATCTTTGCAATTATGTCAACGATATCGCCGGAAATGAAGTGTCCCCAACTAAGCAAGCCAGAGGCGACAGCGGCAAGGAACCAAAACTCCATCGGTGACAGAATGGAGAAAAAACCTTGGGAGAAACCAGGCTCAGTCGGGGGGCCAGTTCTCCTCTGACCAGACGAACCAGCAGTACGGAAAAATCTATTTAAGACGTAATAAAATAGACGATGAACAATATTAACATCAATTATTATATGATGTAATCAAACTTTTAGCAAAATGTGGTAGTTCTGTATGTTGTTTCATGGTTTGCATCATCTGAGGTCCTCTGAGGGGTTGCATCATCTCTTCTCAGGTGTTCTGGATCCAGACTGAAGCTTGTGTAAATCCTAGTTACATCCCGTGGCAAAAGACAGAGAAACAAATACAAACATAATTAGCGTAGCTGCTGTTCCAACCAAGCAAAATTGATTTGTTTAACCCAAACTAAAGAATAATAATGTGCATTTGATTAGATATAACTGCAGTAAAAGATTATGAGATGCATTATTTGAATGCTTGGCCAAAGAGATGTGTCTTTAATCTAGATTTAAACAGAGAGAGTGTGTCTGAACCCCGAACGTTATCAGGAAGGCTATTCCAGAGTTTGGGAGCCAAATGCGAAAAAGCTCTACCTCCTTTAGTGGACTTTGCTATCCTAGGTACTACCAAAAGTCCAGAATTTTGCGACCTTAGGGAGCGTGATGGATTGTAGCGTGGTAGAAGACTAGTTAGGTACGCAGGAGCTAACCCATTAAGGGCCTTATAGGCAAGTAATAATATTTTGTAACTGATACGGAACTTAATAGGTAGCCAGTGCAGAGACTGTAAAATTGGCGTAATATGATCATATTTTCTTGACCTGGTAAGGACTCTAGCCGCTGCATTTTGGACTACCTGTAGCTTGTTTATTGAAGATGCAGGACAACCACCTTATAGCTTATAATTGGCAAAGTCAAGGCTCAAGACAATGCAAGAAAGGATGACAGCCGGAATCACAAACGATCCAAGTTAAAAGTATGGTAGAGGTAAAGTGATTATCTGGCAATATCTGTGAATAGCTTGGGTCTATTCATATTAGACACAACAGGACTATATGTAAACTCTAATGCCATGACAAGATTCGCATACGTCCATCTCGCGAATGTACAGTCTTCTGCCATCTTCACCCATTAGATGCTTTTCCATTGGTCAGTGCGAGCCGGGGCTTACAGCGAGCCGGGCGGGGCTAATAGCCTCGGACCTCAAGCACAGAGGCCGAAATCATGCCGCGTTTCCACTGTTGGGCCAGTAGCCTCGCAGCACTCCTGTAAAACCCGCCCTAAACACACCTTCACTGGGCTACGTCACACAATACAAAGTTCCACCAGCGAGAGGGAGATGAATGAAATAAATCGCTAAACAAATATATCAGAAGCTGTCGTTTAGTCTTTATTTACAAACTTGGACACCACACGCGGCTATTGACTGACAACAGGAAATAGAACTTATTTGTGGCATTTTTGATTCGTTAATGTCTCGCGGTTTTGCTGTTTTTTCTTTTTCTTTGAACAATTACATTTTGGGCTAAAAGTGTGTTGTAACACAAGCATTAATGAACATGTACCATGTAAAATATTACTGAAAATTGATTAGTAATGCCTTACAATACTGCGTTACAGCAAAAAGTAATCCGTTACTGTAAAGCATTACTTTTGTAACGCGTTACTCCCAACACTGGTGGTTAGTTAGTCTGTTTTGATGGTTTTACAGTCTACTTCCCCTGCTACCAAGGCAACTTCCTAACCGAAGCGGCAATGAACGATCACAATGCAGAAAGCGGGGCATAAAATTATATAGCACACAAAAATACTTAATGTTTATTGATTATGTTCATGATTTATTCATGGACTATTATTACGGACTATTTTGCACTACTAAAATAATTATATTTAAAAAGAAAAGTAAATAGATAAAGTAAATGTAAATAGATAGAATGGAAGAATACAAAGAAACATATCTTAGCAATTGTGATATTAATAAAATAATAATAATTATAAATGAATACAAATAATGATAAAATAAAAAAAAATAAAAAGAATATCTAATAAAAAAAAATGGTAAAAGTACAAAAAATGGCATGAATTGATTGCACACATGTGAAATGAGGTGTGTGTGTTATTTAAAAAATATTACACTTATATAATATAAAATGTATTTATTTTTAACTTTTTTTATCATCATACATTGTGCTGTGCAACTGTGCAATCCATTCTGGGATTGCCTTTACTGTAACGGATACTTGCAGTGATGCCTTATTTAATTTTTTTATTTATTTCATTTATTATTGTTAATATTATGCATTTATTTTTATTTTTGGCAAAATCACAGCTTATTACATTTTGGAACAGAGCTGATTTTTCACTTGCAAAAGCATTCATAGATACACATACATGTAATGAATATTGTTTCTCTGAGTGTTAAAGGTCACCTCAGTGCTTAGCTGAACGTATGTCCTCTTTTTCTTTTTGAAACGGGCAACCATGCTTGGTAAGTGAGTAACATCTTAAGTCGTGTGACTATGTTCTGTTTTAGACTGCCATGCATCTCCAGATGCCCCAGACCAGAGGAAGATCTAGTCGTGCAGCTGAACCTGAAACAGTGTTTGATGAGACAGGACTACAGGTGGGACGCAGATCTGGATGTCTGCCGCGAGCCTGATGACTCTCCTTCAGTCTAAAGATGCATTAACCTGCATGCTTTTCATTCCTCTGTCTTTCTTGTTCTGCCTCATCTGTGTCTGATGTCTGGAGGTTTTTTTGTTAACTCTTTGTTTTGTGTTTCTAACCTGTTTTCTTTTAAAGCTTTGTTTTGTGTCTCATGTCTTGTTTTTTGTGCATTAAAGTCTTTGCTTTCTTTTAACTGTAGAATATGTCTTCATGGTTAATCTCTGTCGGCTGATTGAAGTTTTGTTCTTCTGTAGTGTCTTAGCTTGTTGAGTGTTTCTCTCTTTGTAGTTCAACCTGCAAACCTAACTTCTGAAGTTAATTGTTAATTTGCACGATATTTTTCAATGGAATATTACATAATCTGAAAGTGTTTTTTTTCTGGTATTATTGCAATTTCTTTATAAATAACTAACTTTCAATACATAACCTTCTCTGTTTTAGTTTGATCACTGCCCTCAAAGGAGTGAATGCTAAACACGCACACAGACATTCAGACAGTTGATACAGAGCAAACACAAGGCGGCTCTACCATACACAAAGAAGCAGAGGAATAATAGACCTACACAGCTAAACATTACTCAAATACTTCAGCCGGCCTACTTTTCACATCACAGGAAGAAGTGCTTAACCTTTTTGTGACCTGAGCTCACTCCTAGTACAATCTTTATGGGGATACTTTAATGTAAAGACTCAAACCTTAAACTACACTTTTGTTGACTAAACCATTGCTCCTAAAGCACTAACAATAATAATGATAATAATAATAACATAGTGGCATAAATTGATGGCAAACACGTAAATGAAATGAGGCATTTAAAACTTTTTTTAATGATTATTCAAGTAATTCTCACAAAATTTAGCAATTTTTGTATATAATTATAATAATTATTAATATAGTATATAATAATTTCCATTCAATGCCCCATATCACATCTGTCAAACAGAAGAAAATATGGTATCTATAGCAAATTTGTAATTTCTCATTTAAAGCAACCCTGCAGGATCTGTTTATTTCTGTTGGATTTAATAATGGGTGAAATGAAAATCTGTTAATGCTGGACAACTCTGAATATTTTGACAGCCGTTCCGCTCTCCTTTAAATTAATGTTGATCTATAAGATTAGAAATGTCTTGCACTCCTCTGTCTCCTGTGACTGTAGAGGAAAATCTCAGGTTAGAAAGCTATGGATCTGGCTCATGGCGAGTCTTCAGGGCATGTCAGCACATGCTCGTGGCAGTTCCTAAATCGCACATTCAAATACCTGTCAATCAGTGTTTCTACATGATGCCTGAGGGATTCTGGGACGGGTTTGTGTCAGTAAGCCATTTCGCCACGCTCACAATGCAGGATTAGACGGGTGTTAGCAGGAGCATGGAGGCTATGTACAAGCAGAGAAGTTTGGATAGTGAAACTTTTTATCTACACATTGTATTCTGGGATCTATCTTTGAGATTCGTGAATAGGGGTTATGCGCAACAGACTTCCGTATTCTGTTAATCGGGTTTCGTCGCTTCCGGTTCAAGCGTTTTGCGTATGCTTAGTTAAATATGAAGCCGTTTTACTCGAGATGCCTTCAAAGTAGATACCAAAGATTATCATAACCAATGTCGATCACATATGCGGACTGATATCTAAAAGTTTTTTTTATTTTTATTCTTTTCACATTTAGATATAAACGTCAACAATAAAAACAGCTAGCTAGTTTAACTGATTATCTTAAAAGTCCATAGATATAGCTATTATTTAATACGGCCGTTAACATGTTCTCTGACAAGCGGAAGCAATGAGACCTGTTTTCCGGGTTTGGTCAAGTAATGTTCGACATATACCCTATTTTGCGCTATTGCTTTTCTCTTACCAGCTGTGCATCATAGTCTTTGTCATCACATGCCTAACGCTGTTGACTAAATCCATGTCATGTTTTATAGGGATTTGAGGACCTATGCAAAGCATTTCTGTAGAATTGATCGTAAGACAGAGAGATCTAATCTTTGCTTTCAATTTTCCTTTCAGGAATATATCTTCCATCTGGAGCCCGGCAAGGAGGATTCTGGGAAGGGAAAGTGCCCATATGATCCAAAACTGAACAGTGTCTCAGCTTTGATTAGTAAGTCCCTTCAGCAATTCCATTCAAAACTGTGGAAACATATTTCCACTTCGATGAAGAGTTGGATGTTGAATGTATCACATGGTGCATTCTTTTGTGCTTGTCCTACTAAAAAAAAAAAAAGAAAGGCACTGCTTATGCTTGTGAGCATTCACTTTCGTTACTATTCAAAGTCGCTTTAGAAGACTTATTGCACAGCTATTGCCCAAAAAAGTGACAGGCTTTTCCTGCAAGCATGAAGCAACTTGGTATTTTCTCTTGAGATGGTCATTTCTTTACTTAGTGACAGTTAAATTGAATTAAATAGAGAAATCACTGCATTATTGTTTGTGTTTTACTGGAAAAGTCCAAACCATGATTTCTGAGTAACTCTTAATGGAGAATTCAGATGGCAGTGTTGTGTTTTAACAAGTCCTCTAATGATGCTTCTCACTGTGAGTCTTCATGCACTAGCAAACTCAACGGTTTATTGATCATTTGTAATGGGTCGTGTCAGAATAGTGCTTGAGGGGAAAAGCTTTTCACATTTAGATAGGCTAACTATAGTCCATATTCACAGGATAATGTTGAGGAAGAGATGGCCTTGCTAATTTATTAGGCTCATTGTAGCTATATTAGGTCTGAAACAAAAGGAGTTTCAATAGGAATAGGGCTGCATCGAAATAAAACCAAAATTGTGATACTGCTTAATGTGATTATCAAATCACAAAGGCTGCGGTTTAATTAAATAAATATATATTCTGTGTGTTTCAGAGTGAAGCGATTATAATGTTGAGGAAGAGATGGCCTTGCTAATTTATTAGGCTCATTGTAGCTATATTAGGTCTGAAACAAAAGGAGTTTCAATAGGAATAGGGCTGCATCGAAATAAAACCAAAATTGTGATACTGCTTAATGTGATTATCAAATCACAAAGGCTGCGGTTTAATTAAATAAATATATATTCTGTGTGTTTCAGAGTGAAGCGATATCTTACATGTGAGCAAGTAGTGTTTTTAGTGTCTCAGACTGACTCGATTAAACTCCATCCATGAAAACTCTGGGATTTTGGCTCACTTGTATAGTTAACCCTCATCCGTCCCTCCCGAACCTATAACAAAAGTGTCCCTCGCGGGTCAAAATGACCCCAAGGCCAAAAATGACACTAATTTTATTTTTGGTCCAGAAAGCTTATATTGGAACATTTAATAAAAAAAATTATGTAGGTTTTTCTATTATTTTGGGGTGATTTTTTTTAATCATATTTACCTTTTTATTCTGGATATTTTTAAGAAAACATAAGCAAATAAGCAGTTTTTGTACATTATTTCACCAAACAAAACAACAAAGAAAGACCTGTCATCAGTCCTGTTTCATCAAAAACCAACAGATGGCCTTGGAATTGAGTCACTGAGTGTCTCTGATGCCATCTGGTGGGGAAAAATTACATAAAATGGCATTTTATGGTTACAGCCACTAGAGGGGCCTATAGATTTTTAAATGAGCAAAACAAATGAAACATGATAAATTAGATAATCTTAAAGCTTCAATTTGGTTGTTTATGGATTAAAATATATATTGAAACATTACAAAATCCAAATTTTGTAAAAAAAATAAATAATAATAATTCTAACTAAATTATAACCTAAATGTATGCATGTTCATACAATTTCATAAATATGAAATAAATATATAATATATTTTTTACAAGCAGAGAAGTTTGGATAGTGAAACTTTTTATCTACACATTGTATTCTGGGATCTATCTTTGAGATTCGTGAATAGGGGTTATGCGCAACAGACTTCCGTATTCTGTTAATCGGGTTTCGTCGCTTCCGGTTCAAGCGTTTTGCGTATGCTTAGTTAAATATGAAGCCGTTTTACTCGAGATGCCTTCAAAGTAGATACCAAAGATTATCATAACCAATGTCGATCACATATGCGGACTGATATCTAAAAGTTTTTTTTATTTTTATTCTTTTCACATTTAGATATAAACGTCAACAATAAAAACAGCTAGCTAGTTTAACTGATTATCTTAAAAGTCCATAGATATCGCTATTATTTAATATGGCCGTTAACATGTTCTCTGACAAGCGGAAGCAATGAGACCTGTTTTCCGGGTTTGGTCAAGTAATGTTCGACATATACCCTATTTTGCGCTATTGCTTTTCTCTTACCAGCTGTGCATCATAGTCTTTGTCATCACATGCCTAACGCTGTTGACTAAATCCATGTCATGTTTTATAGGGATTTGAGGACCTATGCAAAGCATTTCTGTAGAATTGATCGTAAGACAGAGAGATCTAATCTTTGCTTTCAATTTTCCTTTCAGGAATATATCTTCCATCTGGAGCCCGGCAAGGAGGATTCTGGGAAGGGAAAGTGCCCATATGATCCAAAACTGGACAGTGTCTCAGCTTTGATTAGTAAGTCCCTTCAGCAATTCCATTCAAAACTGTGGAAACATATTTCCACTTCGATGAAGAGTTGGATGTTGAATGTATCACATGGTGCATTCTTTTGTGCTTGTCCTACTAAAAAAAAAAAAAGAAAGGCACTGCTTATGCTTGTGAGCATTCACTTTCGTTACTATTCAAAGTCGCTTTAGAAGACTTATTGCACAGCTATTGCCCAAAAAAGTGACAGGCTTTTCCTGCAAGCATGAAGCAACTTGGTATTTTCTCTTGAGATGGTCATTTCTTTACTTAGTGACAGTTAAATTGAATTAAATAGAGAAATCACTGCATTATTGTTTGTGTTTTACTGGAAAAGTCCAAACCATGATTTCTGAGTAACTCTTAATGGAGAATTCAGATGGCAGTGTTGTGTTTTAACAAGTCCTCTAATGATGCTTCTCACTGTGAGTCTTCATGCACTAGCAAACTCAACGGTTTATTGATCATTTGTAATGGGTCGTGTCAGAATAGTGCTTGAGGGGAAAAGCTTTTCACATTTAGATAGGCTAACTATAGTCCATATTCACAGGATAATGTTGAGGAAGAGATGGCCTTGCTAATTTATTAGGCTCATTGTAGCTATATTAGGTCTGAAACAAAAGGAGTTTCAATAGGAATAGGGCTGCATCGAAATAAAACCAAAATTGTGATACTGCTTAATGTGATTATCAAATCACAAAGGCTGCGGTTTAATTAAATAAATATATATTCTGTGTGTTTCAGAGTGAAGCGATATCTTACATGTGAGCAAGTAGTGTTTTTAGTGTCTCAGACTGACTCGATTAAACTCCATCCATGAAAACTCTGGGATTTTGGCTCACTTGTATAGTTAACCCTCATCCGTCCCTCCCGAACCTATAACAAAAGTGTCCCTCGCGGGTCAAAATGACCCCAAGGCCAAAAATGACACTAATTTTATTTTTGGTCCAGAAAGCTTATATTGGAACATTTAATAAAAAAAATTATGTAGGTTTTTCTATTATTTTTGGGTGATTTTTTTATCATATTTACCTTTTTATTCTGGATATTTTTAAGAAAACATAAGCAAATAAGCAGTTTTTGTACATTATTTCACCAAACAAAACAACAAAGAAAGACCTGTCATCAGTCCTGTTTCATCAAAAACCAACAGATGGCCTTGGAATTGAGTCACTGAGTGTCTCTGATGCCATCTGGTGGGGAAAAATTACATAAAATGGCATTTTATGGTTACAGCCACTAGAGGGGCCTATAGATTTTTAAATGAGCAAAACAAATGAAACATGATAAATTAGATAATCTTAAAGCTTCAATTTGGTTGTTTATGGATTAAAATATATATTGAAACATTACAAAATCCAAATTTTGTAAAAAAAATAAATAATAATAATTCTAACTAAATTATAACCTAAATGTATGCATGTTCATACAATTTCATAAATATGAAATAAATATATAATATATTTTTAAAAATATAAATGATATAAACTCATTGGTCTCCACCACATCACTCAAATCTAATTGTGTTAAGTAAAAAAAAATTGAAAAATGATAGTCATATCCCAGCAGAAACATGAAAAATATTACAATGTTCTATGAGAGTGTGTGTACCATGTGTGTGTTTGTGCATGTGTGTGTGCGTGTGTGTGTGTTTATGTGAGTTTTTTTCTGCATTGGGGATGTTCTGTAGTCTCAGCCCTTCGTTTGGGTATAAATCTTTACTGCATTGTCTCAGATATTGTATATATTAAAAAAAATCAAATGTAATGAAAAATGCAGTTTTCTTGTAAATTCCATTCATTCCTATGCGGGCCAAAATGACCGCGAGGGACACTTTTGTTACTTTTTTTTATTGCACCCATTTAAACTCCTCGAATCCACTCAAATTTTGTTTTGTGTATTCCCGGTGCAAGTGTGAACGAAGTAAAGAAATCTTGCCCCAGATCAATTCACGATTTTTAGAATTTTTTCCAAGACATTTTGGGTCTAAATGACCCGAGGGACGGATGAGGGTTAAATTAAAAATGCGACATGCACAACCATCTTCCCAAACTTGTAATGATAAGCACGTCTGAACTGACTGTCGACTCTGGCAAAATAAAAGCTTGATGATTTAACATTTAAACATTTTAAAACCATAAGTTTGTTAGGATTTGGAAATCTGCAGTATGTTGATTGTTGTATGTCAAATTTGTTGTAAATTAGCTTTTTCCTGACTAAACAATCCCCAAACTAGCCCGTCATCAGCCAAGACCAAAAAACAGCACAAAGCCCCAATTTAGCAGGTCTTACACAGCAGGTAATTCAGCAAAACCCTTGACTAGGAAAATAACCGGCTAAACCATCTAATCAGCACAGCTTAGTAAAACCACTTAGCTAAGCCAGTAAAACAATTGATCACAGTCTTACATGAAGTGCGACCTCAAAAGCCACAAACAAACATGACAAGGAAGCTTTTGCAAACAATTTGGCTTGCTATTCGTTGAAAGAACGCTTTAGTGCTTGCCTGTCTGGTTGTATTTAACTACCACCTCATATATTAGAGTTGTTTGGTTGAATTTACAAGGCGTTCTGACAGGTTGGCACCTAGACGTCCCCTAAGAATCAACAATTTTGATCTGCCATTGGAAAAACCGCCGCCGGCAGAGCAAATAGACTGTCAACAAACTCATTCTACATCCAGTGCGCTTCCTCTACAAACCCCTCCGACTGAACTCGTATCTCCCGCTGTACACAGAAGCAAGTGTGGGCAAAAATGGGCAGGCCCTATGTCCTGGATTCCTCCAAGAGGGAATTAATCATGAGTGGCTCATGACAGCGCTCCGCCTGGCCCCTCCTTAACAGCCATGGCCTCTGCCAACTACACGCTGAGACACCTGCTCAAATGGCCTGCAACTGGGTTCTGCACACTCACACTCACACTCACACATACCCACACACACACACACACACACACACACACACTTGACCTCCACACTACTTAACAAGGAACAAATTCCTCCAGAGGCAATAATAACCCCTCACATGCACATGCATAATGACCAGGGCATGTGAAACCCAGTGGGCATTAATCTTGTGCAGTGTGTAATGTAAGTTGGCAGATGCCATCAAGCCAAGCTGTATATCATTGTACAGTGTTAGTGTCAAATTATTTATTTTTATTTATTTAGTCATTTATCAGACGCTTTTATCCAAAGCGACTTACAAATGAGTAACAAATTATTAACATATACATAATTTAAGCATTAACAATAATATTTTATCTGAGAATTATTGGTCAAATTGAAAAAATCATATACAGTATACTTATGAAAAAAAAAAAAAACTTTTCTTGACTGATGGTCTCTGTAAGTTGAACAGTTGATCAGTTAAATGCTCATTTTCTGTGCCTTGATGAATCACCTGGTAATAATCCATCATCACGGGTGTGGCCGATGTTTCATTATGGAAAATAAAAGCTCATAAATCAAATGTATTATTCTTTTACATTCACAGATACTTACATTCTGACTTTCTCTTTTTATCTCTGTTTTTCTAAACCTTAGATGGAGAATTGTACGCAGGGGTGTATATTGATTTCATGGGGACAGACTCTGCTATTTTCCGAACTTTGGGGAAAAACACAATCATGCGTACTGACCAATACAACTCAAGATGGCTGAATGGTAAATAAGCTGACATAGGTGGTTTTTATTTTTTTGATTTTATTTTTATATTTTAAACCTAGCCCACCATTCATTTAATGATCAAAAATGAGCCAATTTATCTCAATTAAAACGTATGCACAAGAAAAGTTTTTTTATTTTCTTGCTATTTGATGCTGTTTTTCTCCATTTTAATTGTCTTTGTGCAGGTTACTTAAATAGTCCTAATAGTTTCACAAATGTTTCTATGAAAAGGCTTATAAATGTTTAATTGTGCAAATGTAAAATGACATTGCATGTCTCTTTCATTTTCTTAGACCCCTCATTTGTCCATGTGCACCTTATCCCTGACAGCAATGAAAAAAACGATGACAAACTCTATTTTTTCTTCCGCGAGAAGTCTTCTGAGATGGGCCAGAGCCCCAAATCACAGTCACGCATCAGCCGAATCTGCCTGGTGAGCTAAAAGTTCTGACCTAAAATATGATGTGATGAATATGAAATTTGAGACATTCCGTATCGTTCAGCATTTCTGAACGAGATTCCAGCTACAGCCTAGAGCGAGCAAGCCATGGTTTGTGGATATTTGACTGTGGCGTTTCTGTTTGCTTGCCGCTGACGTGCCGAAATCCACACATATTTGACCTCCCTGCTTACAATACTTCTCTCTATCCATGTGACCCCTGAACCTGTGACCTTTTAAACTGTCAGGTCAGCCGTTCTGAGTTTCTTCACCAGAGCGCGCTATGGAAAAGATAGCTTATTCACTAGCACCACAGCGATTTGTCCCAAATGTGGAGCTTAACCACAAGGTCTTAATGAAAATAGCACCAGACCACAACTGCAAATTGAGCAGGGCAATGAAAACAAACATGGAACGGCAGGCTTGAGCCACAGGGGTAAACTCAGGGGTTTGTGGTGCATCTTCTTGGGCTTAATGTAAGTTTGTGGGTGTGTTAATGTTTAGCTGTACTTGGCAGGGATATATTCTGAAAGTTCCTTACAAACCCACATAAATGGATAAAATAACTTTAGATTTTTTAGAAATGTTAAGCTAAATATGGACCAAAAAAAGCATCATAAGTAGTCCATATGACTGTAAATGTGATTTTACACTAGCATTCAGAAGTTTGTGGTCAATAAAATTTTTAGATTTGTAAGATTTTTTTAAGTCTCTTAAGGCTGCACATATTTGACCAAAAATACAGTAAAAACTGTAAAATTGTGAAATTATTACAATTTAAAAAGAATTGTTTTCTATTTCAATATATATTAAAATGTAATTTATTCATGCGAAGGCAAAGCTGAGTTTTCAGCAAGCATTATAGATATTGAAAGGGTTTGTGTATTTTTTGTAACATGCATGTGTTTGAGCTGTTTCATATGTGGAACCACATGGTGGTATATGACAGTACATGTGTGTTTGTGTGGGTGGCTGGGTTTTTGTGTTTATCCGCTTTCTGTTTTGTGTTTAGGGGTGTGTTTATAAGAGTGCGTGGTCTCTGTTGCGCGGCCCCCCCAGGTCTTTGTTTATGAGTCGGGGTCATGTGGTGACCTAGCACGCAAACACACCCCTGCGATCAGGGCTTTATGGATCACCCTCCGGAGAACCAGCCATTCTGCATCTCACATCTGAAGCCATCTGGTCACCATCCACCCACTCGCAAAGATTTTTAGCTTCTATTAATAACAATGAGTCATGCGATCAAAGATGAAACACGCAGGGAGCCTAGGGTATGATCGTTCATATCATGTATACAGTTTGTCGAATATAACTAATTTAGCTGCATCTGTTAAAGTTGTTAATCTGTTTTTGCTTCCTGTAAACTTGCTGTCCTATCATAATAAAGGCAAAAATAAATATTTAAATTAAAAAAAGAATTAAATTCTTCCTAACTCCTATTTTCTTCTTAAGTTCTCACTTGAGAATAAAATTAAGAATGATTTCTATTTACAAAAACATTTCTTAAAGACAAATCTTAAGAAGAATTTGAATGCCTGAAAAAAGTTGTTCTTAAGAATCACTGTAAATAACCGCTGAAAGTTAGGATAACCTCCAACTTGTCTTAAATTCCCCAAAATTTGATGTCTAATGAATTTATTGATTCTCATCAAGCCTGTTGCAACAAAAACAGTTTGAATACTAATTATTGATATGATATAATATGCTGGCAAAGCAAAAAGTTTTTATTTAATTTTTTATTCAGTTGATTAGCACGTACACCATACAATCATAAGAAAAGAAAAAGTTCCTAAAGAAAATATCTGAGCACTTATTAGAAATAATAAGTACTTCATAGAAACATTCTTACAAACATTTTAGAATGTATCTTAAGAAATGTCTTAAATTCTTTTTTAATAATAAGATTTTGTGAATCTGCCCTCTGGTTTTTAATTTCCCAGCGGTTAACATCTAGTTTACAGACTACTTTGATGCTGTTATGATGTTTGTGTCCTTTTTGAAGCTTAAAAGGTCCAGTCCCCATTTACTGTAGTACAATTGTATGGGAAAATCATATTTGTGTTCCACAGAAGTACCGTAAGTGAACCCGTTTTGGAACAACAAAATGATGAATAAGTAATTACAGCTTTTTTATTTTTGGGTGAACTTTCCTTTCATACCGCCAAACGAATAGGTTGTGATTGAACTCAGATGATAAATCAGGATCCCTCAACCACCCCTCCCTAAAATTGGCCGGCAATCAGACCAGATGGGTGTGTTTTGTGAATCAGACCAGACACTATTTGCAATCTTGTCTTCTCACAGCTAACTTTTCCTGGCTGTTTGTTCCCTTCTCTCCTGCTGTGGAGGGGCTTGCCATGAATTAAATACAGCTATTTCACCTCTCTTTGATTTCAACTCAAACCAATGGCTCTCAACGTGTGTGTGTTTACAGAACGATGATGGCGGTCACTGCTGCTTGGTCAACAAGTGGAGCACCTTCCTGAAAGCCCGTCTCATCTGCTCAGTCCCAGGAGCTGATGGGATTGAAACACATTTCGACGAGCTCAGTAAGTCTCACTCTGTTCATCTCCAACAGATAAAGTCGTCAGTTGAAAGGCCTCATTTCAGCTCTTAAAGTGGTTTGCGTTGGCCGGAGGCCAGTCAGGGATCACATTAGCTGTGTGTGAATGAGAAAGATCTTCTCCTGATTAGTCAGGTTTCAGTGGCCCTGTCCAATGTCGCCCACACCCTACTACAAAACCACATGCAAACCCTCCATCCACCCACAACATCCTGGATCCCCTAACGTGGGCCTCCAGGTCTGCATTTACACCAGGCCAGGTGACATACCTCACCCTCCCTGCCATATGGCACCAGATTCCCCCCCTTGTCCATATGGAGAGATGGATAATGGCTGATTTGGAGCTGTTACAGAAATCCACCCTCTTTTTTCCAAACAAAAGGCTCTTTTGGGAAGGCTGATGTGGGAGATGTGCCATGAGCTGCGGGGAGACTTGAAGGGAGTTCGGATGACGTCCAGAGAGAAGGCCATGCCCTGTGGACGGATCAGGTGGACCGACAGGAATGCCGGGTCCACTAAGGGTGTCTCTCTCGCACTTGTAGTCATTTCCAGACTAATTGGCCCCTGTGATGTAGGGAAACGGCGGGTTATGATAATGCTGGAATTTATTGCTGTTGCTCATATTAAAAGAGCAGATTTGCGCTCCCGAGCACAGTCGCTCAACTCTTATAAACACGTTTGGCTCTTTATTAGTGGGGAGGATGTTTACACAGGCTCTTGGAGAAGTGAGGATTTAGCTGTGTGTGTTGAAGGAGGGATGCCCGGGCATTTTTAATAAGGCAATAAACCTGTAGTTCAGTGTGAGTTGTGGCAGTCTACTAATGAGCTGGATTAAGCTTTTATTAGAATACAGATGGAGTTGTGCTTAAGTACACCTTGTCATAGTAGCAGTCAGAATGATCATAATTACACATTTACATTCTATGGAATGTAGATGGAATTCTATGTCATTCAGTCTACAGTGTGTGTATGTATATGTGTGTGTGTGTGTGGGTGTGTGTGTGTGTGTATATATATATGTGTTTTATATATGTGCACAACTGATATTGTCATAGTTCTTTATCATAATTGATTTTCTCTATAAGGTCACATGGGAGGGGAAAAATAATGTTAACCATTACTATCATAGCATAGATTTGAGCAATCCAATCAATTCTTAATGCATTACAATTCAAATACCGTCCTATATTGTTTTCCATTGTTTATTGTTGCACTTTGAAATAGGCCACATAAGTTAATAAATGTTGTTTCGTGTTCTCAATGAAATTTCCTGCATTTTCTGTTCAGTATTCTTGAGAGTGATAGTGTAGATTTATCTTGTGCTCATGAGACTCTGGCTTTGCATTTAGGAGATTATGGGAGTTTGAACAGTTTGAAGACTTTAAGGATTTGGCAAATTCATCCCAGATGGCCAAATGTTTGTTAAAAAATAATTCTGTAAAAATGTGTCATTTTAAAAGTATGTGTTCATCCCTGTTGATGCTCTTTAGATATATGCCATTAACTGCATTTGTCCTGTTGTTTAGGAGAAAAGGGGAAGAAATTTGCCTCAGGTTGCCAAATGCATTGGCACGGGCACGGGCAAGAGAGAGAGAGTCTTCAAAGTGATATTAGTAGAAAGCATAAGAAAACTAAGGGGATGGGACATGTTGCAGGCTGAATTTGAAGCTGTATATCCAACATGAGCTCCTCAATGTGTCTGGAAAATGTGCATTAACCAATATACCAAAGTGAATTTTTCATTTATAAGATCATGAGTTTCTATCACTGTGAATGAGTTATGAATGAATTTTTGGTTGTCTTATAAGCCAATATCTTTGATCCATATGCACATGATGCATTACCTGTGCTATACATACAGCTACACTCAGATACTGTATAACGGTTGGCAGGATATGTGTGTGAGGCAATAGGAACCACCATATGTTTTGCTATCCTCATCCTGTGAGTTCTCCCTGTGGAGCACTTCAGCGGTCCTTAAACACACACTTATTCCCTTACACACATATGCACACATAAGTGTTTATGCAAGCCAACTCAGCAAGTTTCATAATAGTAATGACGTGCAATGTCTTTTCTTTGAACTTTGATTGTCTCCTTCACATTATTTACTGTCCAGTTTACCGTTAATTGAAAACTGATGTAAAATAAAAATAGAAGTATTAGTTGAAAAAAAAAAAAATTCTCATTACTTCAGAGATGGTGAGTGAAATGCAGTGAGAAACTGAGTCACAGGAAGTTTGTCCCAAGATTCAGTAAATGCGCTTGATTTATGCACTGCAAATATTAGCAAACTGTTCTCCAGCCTTTTCATTGCAATGTTGTTCTGTGTTTGTGTCTTTTAGGGGATGTGTACATACAGCCTACGCAGGACACTAAAAATCCCGTCATCTATGGGGTCTTCTCTGTGTCTGGGTGAGTTTGAATATGTCTATATCTTCCTCCATTTGGAAACTGTAGGAAATACTGGAAGGGGTTGTTTAACATGGGCAGTTGTCCACTGCATTTGCATCTGTTTTTCACATGTACACTTTTACACACTTTATATATTAATAGTTCTATATATGAACTTCATAACAAAAACGGTCATATTTTCCCCCCAGCTCTGTATTCAAAGGCTCAGCGGTCTGCGTCTACTCAATGGCGGACATTCGGATGGTGTTCAATGGACCTTTTGCTCACAAAGAAGGTCCCAATTATCAGTGGGTGGCCTACACTGGAAAAATCCCCTACCCTCGTCCAGGAACAGTGAGTTTAACCCTCTTATGAACCAAATACCAAAAATGAGATGAATTATTGGCACACTGGTATAGAAATATTAATCTAGACTTGCTGTTGAAGGTTAAAACCAAGCTGAAAGCACAAATTGTAAGTGGGGTTTAGCCTTTAGATCTAACCATTTGGAAGTCAGCCTTTAGTGCTACTGTATTAGGAGAATACAGAGATCTCATTGGCTAAGGTTGGTCCCCTTCACCCATTTTTGCTAGTGTCCTGGTGGGACTTTCACCCCCAACATGAAGTCCACGAAAGACTACCCTGACGAGGTCATCAACTTCATGCGGAACCATCCCACCATGTACAATACTGTGTATCCGGTGCACAAGCGCCCCCTGGTGGTCAGGACCAACGTAGACTATGAGTTCACCACCATCACTGTGGACCAGGTGACTGCAGCCGACGGCAACTACGAAGTGCTCTTCCTGGGTACAGGTGAGTTTGGAAACTAGCCTGATTTTTACATATTCAGATTGTTTTTCTTTGTTATGTGCAATATAATATGCACAATTAAATATAAACAGCTTCAAATAAGATATATTGCATAGCACAGGGTTATTGTAGTTTATTTTTAATTTAGTTTTTATTTCAGGTTTTTATTTATATTATTTTCAATTTGTCTTTTTAGTTTAGTTGAGTTTTCATTTGAATTCAAACCTTTTTTTATAGTCATATAAAAATAAATGTTGATATTTATTGTTAGTTTTAATTTCAGATTTAGTATTTTTGGGGGGTGCCAAAATAGAGTTAATGCTCTAACTGTTTAATGGCATTTTTATGATTAATGCAGACAGTATGTAAAGGTTTTAACTTTTATAATATACCATGTCTCAAAAAAAGGAATCAATTTAGTTTTTTTTCCCAAGTTTTTAACTTGCTAGACGATTATCGAGACACTGAAACTGCTGCAGGATAAAGGGAAAAAATTGTCAGTTTCATTCCTTCTCGGTGTACTGTACATTTATAAGAGGAGGTGAAAGCATCTGGCTGTACTTAGATGGATGTTTTGTGTTTCCATCTTTCTGTTCTTGATATAAAAACTGTGAATGCAGCACCTTAAGGCTGCAGGGTCATGTTATAAGTATCCATCAACCTAGAACAGCTGATCTGCCTAACTCTCGTCTCCGTTTCGAACTTTCTTCTAACCTTAAAGAGTCAGAGTGACATCATTCTTTTGGTCTTGTCATGCTGTAGGTTATGCCTTTATGTCTGCTTATCTTGCTTTGTGAGGCTGAGAGGCTAATGGGTTTTTAAATCAACACTGCGTGGCCCATTGCACCTACAAGCACTCACAGGAACGTCCCTGGCTTTCAGCGGCAGTCGCTCGCTTGCATTCAAAGCTCAGGTTAGATGTATTGCTCCGGTTGCAATAAATCTCTGGTGACGTGCACAGAGGAATGCAACGGGCACGCTTAAATCCAGCTAGCAATTTGGTCAGACACAGCCATTGAAATACGTCCGTTTTTCAGTAGAGACAGAGCCTGACAAAGTACAGCCGAGCTGAAACATGAGTATACCGTGAAAACAAAAGACAAAAGAGGGATATTATAAAGGAAGTGATGGTGTATGGAAAACGTGAAGGGTCTACATGGTAGATGGGACAGAAAGAACGAGAGTAACTCAAGTGTTTCAGTACTCAGTGAAAGATAATAATCAAGATTTTATCAGGACATAAGATGCAAAGACGAATGGCTTGGAAAATGGAATAGACAAAGTTGTCAAAGGAATATCATGGTGCTTTGAATGTTTTGTGACTCTTGTAAGATGGACGTGCACTTGGAACGAGCCAGTTTAATTATTGTGGTTGGCTCAGTGAATAATCTGACTGTCTTTCTATTGGTCTACAGACAGAGGTAAAGTACAGAAGGTGATCGTCCTGCCCAGAGATGACCTCCAGACAGAGGAACTAGTGCTGGAGGAAGTGGAGGTCTTTCAGGTGAGATCTGCACCCTAGGTCTCCTGTTGCACACTAACTTCTTAATATTACATGCTCTTAGGAAAACTTGATTCTGATTGGCCAAATGTGAGCAAATATTTTTGAGTACTGGCCACAAAATTGTATAATTGACCATTGTCTCAGAGCTATGCTGGTTTAGTGCGTTGCATTTCTGTTTAATTTACTTGACTTTATTATATCAGTTCGATTTTTGTTTTTTTAAAGAAGTATTTTATGCTTACCAAGGCCGCATTTATTTGATCAAAAACACAATAAAAACGTGAATACTGTTAAATATTATTACAATTTGAAGTAACTCTTTTCTGTTTTAATATATTTTAAAATGAAATGTATTCCTGTGATGCAAAGTGGAATTTTTGTGTCTTCAGTGTAACGTGATCCTTTAGAAATCATTCTAATATGACGGTTTGCTGCCTAAGAAACAAAAGCTTTTTATTTAGGAGTCATGCAGTATAATAAAGTTGAATCTTTCACTTTCAGGTCCCTACTTCCATCACAACTATGAAGATTTCTTCAAAACGGGTACGAATTTGCTGTACACTAAACCCGATAACACGGTTCACAAACATTGATGTTTTATATAAAATACTGGAGGAATAGCCTAACCCATGAAGAGGATAACAATAACCCTACTTAAGCTAGACGTGCAGCTGCTATCGGTCTCTGTAATCCATAAGCCACTTTCATATGGGGATAACAATTTTACAGATGTATGAAGATAAAATGTTCAATTTTCATTCATTGTGTTTTATTCTTTCATCATGATTGGGATTGTTGGCAGATGTGGATCATTTCTTGGCTGTAATTTAAACCCTAGTTCTCCCAGAAAAGCTGATTTAAAACAGCTGATCCTAAAAACAGAAATGTCAAGTTTTTAAACGCTGGAGAAAAAAAAAAAGGTCAATTATCAGAACAGGCTTAAATTTGCAGTTCAAAACCTGCACAGACCTGTCTGCATCTTTAATTCATCACATTAGAGCTGGGACAGTTGGGTTTTCTTCTTTCCAAGGTGGTTTGAAGGTAGAAAATGTACCTTGGAAGTTTTAGGATCAAATTATATTTCTAAAGGGAGAATAAAAAAAGACTGCCACTCTGCATAACAATATGTTTTTGTTTTGCTGCAGCAACAACTATATGTAGCATCAGCGGTTGGTGTGACTCATCTGGCCCTGCACAGGTGTGACGTCTATGGCGAGGTCTGCGCAGACTGCTGTTTGGCCCGGGACCCTTATTGTGCGTGGGACGGCAAGTCCTGCTCTCGGTACTCTGCCTCACCGAAGAGGTGAATATGCCAAAGCACTTCAGAACCGAATGACATTTACACAGGAGTGTGTCATCACTGTGTTAGTCAGCATCTTTATACATACCACTTTCAGCTATGTTCAGTGTGATCACATTTAGTTTTAAACTGGGATTTCAGAGCAATAGCCTAGTGGTTAGTCCGTATTTTCTAGACGGAGAGAAATGCAGCTCTGAATCCAGTTCCCCATCTCTCTCTATCGATCATTTCTTAATAATCTGGCCTGTTTCTTTATTTGGTTCTTTATATTTACACTGATGGGAAATAATGTAATGCACATTAATAAGATCCAAAATTCGATCCTCAGTTACAGTCACAGCCTCCTAATTTCTGGAAATGTTGTTCATTAGATGTTGCAACTGAAGATCTTTAGTCACGTTGGGCAATTTCAGGGCGAATCACAGTTTTAATTTAAAAGCGTCTGCTAAATGCATTCATTTTAATTTATCCCAAAGTGTTTGAGACGAGCAGGTTTCTGTATGTAGTGAATGGTATATAGTGAAGGGTGAGTTTTCTTATTCTGAAACGGGAAGGTGTTTTTTACCAAAAAAAAAAAAAAAAGATGAAATCCCAGAGAGACATATTGAACTTTCTTCCTCTACTGAACTTTACACGTACAGTAAATATTATGTGTTCAGGCTGCCAGCGTTCATCCGTTCGACCATCATATTTTTAGTGTGGCTGCTGTATGCACAGCGTGATTTACTCAAGAAGTACACAGTACAACATTGTTTAAGTTGAAAAAACCTAAACGGTGTTTGTTGAAACTGAGAATTGAAATAAGTATTGGAAGTATTTTCATACTTTGTCAGATATAGGATTAATTTAATTAATTTCTTATTTTGTGATATTCCTTTCAGACGCAGTCGGCGACAGGATGTGAAATACGGAAATCCCATACGGCAGTGCCGAGGGTACAATTCCAACAGTAAGCTACTAGTCTAACTTTACTACAATTAATATTTGTAAATATATTTATTATGTATAATATCAATAAGTAGGTTTAGTCCTGTCTGTTTTGATTTGTTTAGTTTTTTTCACTTCTAAAGTAAATATGTCCGTTGTATGCACAATTAATTAATTGATAAATCATTCACTGCTAATACTTGTTTTCATATCATGACACATTTATCAACAGTTTTATTTGCTTTGTCAAATTTGTTTATAGAAATTAAGCATATGTGTAAAATACAGTCATGCTTTCTTTGTACAACCATAATGAGCTGTTAGCAGAAAGCCTCATTCTGCTCTGATCTGAATTTTGGTAGTGTTAAGTTTATTTACATTACTGTAGTTTGACTGACATGACTTTCGCTCTACTGGCTCTGCTCTAATAGTTCATGGCCAGCTCTCATTCTCGCTCAAGTGCTGTGTTAATGGACGTGTTGTTCTTGTTGTCCAGCTAATAAGAACACTCTGGAGACGGTGCAGTATGGGGTAGAGGGCAGCAGCACGTTTTTGGAGTGCCAGGCCAGATCACCCCACGCTGCCATTAAATGGCATCTCCACCGGGACAACAGCGATAGAAGGAGAGAGGTGAGGACACATGTACATATACATGCATAAGTAAATAGTATAGATGCACAATATGCCAGTGACCATGATGGGATGAGCCAATATTTGCATTTTTTTAATTCAGCATCATCCTTTTTAGACAGATGCTGGATGCCTATATCATGAAGGATTATTTAAAAAAATATATATTTTCTTTAAAAAAAACTGTAAAAATAAAAATATATAAATTTAAAAATAATTATTTTTTAAATATTTTTGTACATGGTATAATTACCTTTTATACACACACACACACACACACACACACACACACACACATACATATTTACTTTGTATATTTACTTATTTTTTTGCATGTTTGTCACACTTTGTTTCAGATCATCACACAAATGGGTGGCCCAACCAGTTATTAGGTTTAGGGGGCAAACACTTTTTCACACAGGGCCATGTAGTTTTGGATTTTGTTTTCCCTTAATAATAAAAACCTTCATTTAAAAACTGCATGTTGTGTTCACTTGTGTTATGTTTTACTAATATTTAAATTTGTTTGATGATCTGAAACATTAAAGTGTGACAAACATGCAAAAAAAATAAGAAATCAGGAAGGGGGCCAACACTTTTTCACACCACTGTATATATGTAATGTATGTGTGTGTGTGTGTGTGTGTGTGTATATATATAATTTAAATTATAATATAAATTAAATATTTTACATATATGTTTTTGTTAATAATTATATATAGTATGTAGTAAAAACTTAAATTGTAAATTAATAATTATAGAATTAAATTTATAATGAATAAATAATATTTATAATAAGTATAATTACATAAAATACTAAAGTATAGTATATTTACACATCGTTTTTATGTAATTGTAATATATATATATATATATATATATATATATATCAGCTATATCATAAAAATAATGACTGATTATTGGTATCGGCAACCATAATTTTGATATCAGTGCAAAAGTAATAAATAAATAAGCAGTCTCAATGATACATCCAAAGTTGACTGTTTTATTAATCATTGTTGTTTTTGTGTGCGTTTCTTCAGGTCCGTACCGATGGGCGCGTGTTGAAGACCGATCAAGGCTTACTACTGCGTTCCCTCCAGTCCTCAGACTCTGGCATCTACGTCTGCACAGCCACAGAGAAGAACTTCAGGCACACCTTGGTCAAACTTCAGCTGGTGGTCTTGACCAACCAGGCCGTCAACAACATCCTGGTGGAAACGGGCCGTCCGGCGGCTTCTTCGCTCCAATCCAGCACCTGGACCCCCAGTGCCGGACAATACAAAGACCTTCTGACTATCCTCAGTCAGCCTGAGATGGGCCTCATAAACCAGTACTGCCAGGACTATTGGCAGTACGGAGACCCGCTGACGGGGGTCATCAAGGCCCAAGACCTCAAAGAGCTGAAGGAACAGAAGAAACCGCGGAATCGCAGACATCACGGGGATGAAGAGGAGACATGAGGGGGTTTCCGCCCCCTGGTCCTATAGGAAAAACTTCTAAAAGAGTAAAACCTGGGGGAAAAAAAGAACAACTTCCATCAAACGAAACAGAACTTTGCAAGCAACAAACGGAATTCCCTTTTAACAGATAGAGATGATATCGTACACAGTATTTATTGTAGGTTGTATATAGTACCATTCTGTGGATTTCTTTGTACTTAAATAGAAAAATGAATGCTCTTTGTGTATAAGTACCTAACGGGCAAATATTATTGTAATATTATTTTTATTGTCACAACTACAAACAGAACAAGAGAAATCTCCAATTTCCATCTTCTGGGCATTGACGGCTCGTGTGTGTGTGTGTGTGTGTGTGTGTGTGTGTGTGTGTGTATATATATATATATATATATATAGATAGACATAAACTTGTAGACCATGAACTATGTTGAACTGAGATGGTTAAGGAAAGAGCGCCTGGGAACGAATCTTCCCCCTTGGACTCTTCACACAGAAAGACATTTGGAAAAGGCAGGGCAGGAGACGCTGACATCATAATGCTCCTCACCACTAGTCCCACCCCTAAGTGCATTCTGGTCCCTCATTGGTTACAATGATACACCAGCTCATATTGTCTTCCTAATGGCACTCTATATGCACACACATATGTTTTCGTTGCACAAATGTTTAAGGTAATCAAGTTTCATGGCACAAATTTATTTTGTGACTGGACTCAATCAAGTAATGAGGGTTCTAAGCTTATATTGTTTTTGTTATGCCAGTTTTGAAAAGACTAAAAGCACAAAACAACTCGCAGCGTGATGATGCCATGAATGCACAAATGGGAAAGCATGTCTTGGTCATATTTCACCCTTTAAAAAGTTTTTTTTTCTTTTCCATAAATCCATACATTTCCATTAATTTAAATTTAATCCATAATTTCCCCCCCATAAATTATATAAAAACAATGATTTAAATGAATGGCTTACCGGTAATCAAATTTCCCCCAAAACAAGAACCTATTTTTAAGCTACACACACACACACACACACACACACACACACAGGTTTGTTTTTATGGTTTATGGGGCATGTTTTAGAGTTTAAAAAAACACTGGTTTAATCTTTGCAATCTCCTCAGATGACAGTGCAGATGCCTGACAAACGTTGTTGTTGTTGTTGTGATCATAAACCGTATGGATGTGATTACACGCAATACACAGAGCTTTTCCCTCACCATTGTAGCTCGCTGCTTTTGCAAGGTTCAGTGGAAACGTTTCAGCTTTTATTTTCCTTTTTCGTCCTGAAGAAGATATCACAGGTTCATCAAGTTCGTCGAAATTATCCTTCCTCGATCACTTTGTCAGCTTTGACGAAACTCCTCTCAGCTAGCTAGGGTTCAGATCGCGCTATATGTGGAGAATAATTCACGGCAATCAGCTAATTTTTTAAAAAAGTGGCGTTTATAGGTTATTTGCAAATTAACTCTTCATATATATATATATATATATATAGGGGTGAAATATAATCTGGTACTGTTTTGTGAGATTCAGCTAATTATGACTCCTAGCCTAAAAATTCATTTAGATAAACTGGTGAAGGCTGCAATAGCCTATTATAAAAGAGACATCCTGATATATGACAAAAGTCTACATTCATTTTCAAAATGTGTTCACACTGTATCACAGGTTTAAACTACTCGAGGTCTTGGGAAGCTGGCTTTTCATTGTGTGCATGATTTATGTAGTGGTACGGTAATAACGAAATTAAACATAGCTACGTTGCAATTCTTTCTGTTCATATATTTTTATGGTCAGGTCAGTGTTGGACAGAAGGCTGATGGTCTTCCTCTGCGTGGCATACACAGGCAAAACAGAGGGCAACTATTCACCTTACAATGATGACTGTTTCCTCAAGAGTTGATGGTATTGTTACTTTTCCTGCAAAGTGCCACATGGCCCCAAAAACCAGTATGAAGCAGTGTCTTACATTGAGAGAAATGGTTGTACAATTTCTTGGTATTTTTAAGATGTATCTTTAGAAATGTTTGTGTTTTTGTTTTGTCATCAGTTTGAGACTAAATGCACAGGTGGTGTTACTGTGATAATTGTGTAAATGATTTTCTTTCCCCTCTTGCTGTTGCTAACTAATAAATTAAAGCTCTATATTTTATAGTAATTCAACTGTTCATTTTTCTTCATCGGTTGATTCTTTGATCAAAGACTTGTGAGGGGTTTTTGGGGAAGAATCCTGGACTGACAAGACTGAGGATGGATTTGATGGTATGTTTGAGAAAGTGAAACTATGGGAATAATATTGCACTATTGTAGCTCTTGCATGCTGTCACAGTGGTGGTATTTCTATATATTGCAAAAAGACAAAAAACTGTTAAATTATAATATATATATATAATGAGCAGGAACTGGCAAGATCCAGACTGTACAGTACTACAGCAGTGGCATTAAAGTGCTCCATTTGATGTAGCTTTGTGTGAGAACAAAATAAGCTGTTAATTTATTGTGTCCTCGGAGCTAATGTAATATGAGATTGCTGCAGCATCTCCTATGAGCTTATACCAACACAGCTTGTAGTTCGTCAATGATACATGTTCTTTGATGTCTACATACAAGGTATATTTAACAGTTTTTGCTGATGTGATTGTAATATATATATCTTTGCATATATGTTTACTGTTCTATCCTTTGTTTATGTGCTTATCAGTAAATAATCATTTATTAAGTGCATGTATAAGATGATTTTATCCATGCAATCAGTACATTACCATAACAATCGCTCTGGAGTGAGTCTCGTGTTCATGAAGCAGAAAGATTATTCTTGAGACTAAAACCAGCAACCTTATGGTTGCCAAACCCTACACTGTAAAAAATTATTGTGATTTTAACAGTAAAAGACTGTAAAATGCTACAGTAAAAACCTGTTAACTGGTTAACAGTAAGTTTCCATACTATATTCGGTAAATAAATGTAATTGCGTAATTAAGTAAAATACTGTTAAAAATACGGGGGGTTTTTTGGAAGTGAAAGACAAAGTAATTGCATAATTTATAGTGACAAACTATAAATTGACACTCCCAGAATTCCCTGCATGACACTTCATATTTGAAGTTTTTTTGTTGAAATAACGTTTCTTAGTTTTTTCTTATTAGTTGTGTACATTAGCATTTAATCTTACATCTAATGTTGTTAAATTAATGTTTATTGCATTATTTCAGTATCAAGTGTGTCATCGTGATGGGGTTTAGTGTTTGTGTGAATGACACTGTGCACCTTCTATATATAAATATTGCCCTCAGCTCGTAGAAATGCTGTTTGTGATGAGCTTTGGTTCATCATGTGACTTTCTCATCACCACCAGTTTTTGGTGGTTATCATTGCATTACAATGGTTCAAAACAGATATTAGTACTTCAATATGTTGCTTTATTAATATTACATCAGTTAATGAAATACGGTATTTTATTGTGAATTTAAGTTATGTCTATAAAACCTGAAATGTTGCTACCATATTTTTTATGGTGAAGTTCTGGCAACCACAGCTGTCTGTAATTTTTTTTTATTGTGTACTAAGTATATTTTTTGGTTTCCACTTTCCAGTAAAATATCTAAAAATTATTTAAACAAATTCACTTGAGAAACAACACTAAATATTAGGACTTGTTTTCGGAGAATGTAGCCTGCCTTTAAGGTTTTTCTTTGTGTAGCCTTGTTTATTGTGTAGTGTATTTTTCACTTGTTTCTTGTTGTAGGCCTATGTATGTATAATAATAGTAATAGTAATAAATATAAAATCCGCCAGTGTATTAAGGAAAAAAACTCCCATACCTATACATTTCTGTTTTTGTAAGTAATTAAAAAAAATGTAAAAGCCTCAAGTACTTCGGTTTACTGACGCAAATGTCATCATCATCAGCACAATACGTGCATAGTAACAGCGCGTATGGTATATGTATGGAGATAGAATTGTTTCTTAATTCCAAATAAATAGATTGATCCACAAATAAATGTAAAGAGATTAACAAAATCTGCACAGCACCTACTCGCTGGCCTCCGTTACACTTGGCATGATACAAAGTCTACTGGTCTAACGAAATCCAATTTTAAACATCTTTTACTGTACCCATTGTATGGCCCTTATATTACCTATTTGAGCCCATGCAGGTGAATAAAGTTATCTCAGGACGAGACCGTCCTGATTGTAAAGCAAATCGTGATTGGCTATAGCGAGATCGTGCTACGATTGGTCAGCGAAATGTGGCTGTTATCTGATTGGCTTGAGTAGACGGTGGGTGGAGTCCATGTATTTGTGGATTGTCAGCACGTCTTGATGCAAGAAATGTTTCACAATTCGCAAATGCGTGCAGCTAACTACAAATGCACAGGACGCGATTCACAAATAAATGCCAGGTAAAGTTGTGGTTGTGACATAAATATATATTTGTGAATATGTTTTTTTTATTTGCAAATCTCAATTTATTTATTTGTGAATTTAATTCATGTTTGTGAAGCTTTAAGATATATTTGTGGATCTCATTCTATTTATTTGTCAATATGTTTAATGTTTGTTAATCTCTTTACATTTATTTACGGATCATAATCTATTTATTTGGAATTAAGCAACAATTCTATCTCCATACACAGTATATGCATGCTCAGCTACACTCTTAAAAATAAAGGTGCTTCACGATGCCATAGAAGAATCTTTTTGTCTAAATGGTTCCATAAAGAACCTTTAACATCTGAAGAACCTTTCTGTTTTACAAAAGGTTCTTTGTGGTGAAAAAGGTTCTTCAGATTATAAAAAGGTAAGAAAGAGATGGTTCTTTAAAGAACCTTTGACTGAATGGTTCTTTGTGGAACCAAAAATGGTTCTTCTATGGCATCGCTGTGAAGAACCTTTTGAAGCCCCTTTATTTTTAAGAGTGTAGCTTGCAGATGCGCCTTGAGGTTTTTAATGCACTAATTAGTTTGTCTACAAGGTGGCAACACTGCCTTGGCCTCTTTTTTACAGTCGACAAAAAATCTGATGAGACGGAACAACGAACTAGGCAACTGGAGACGGCAGCAACAAAGGATGCCTGCGTTGAGAACGCTTGTATGTTCCAACACTGTGGCAAGCCAGTAAAAATGTTCTTGATATCAGCAATGAAGTCATCA